TACACACATACAGTCACAGTCACACACATACACATATACACATACCCCACATGCATACACACACATTCACACACCTCATATGCACACACACATATACACACACAGACACTCATACACACACAGACACACACACTCCTTGGCTGTAATGCCCCAAGCCTATGACTGGACTTGGATGCCCAATGGCTAGCCAAGCAGCCCAGAGGTGTGGGGATTTCCCTCAGCCACGATGGGGACCAGAGAGCAGCCCACAGAAGCCGCCAGAGGACTTCAGTACCTGCAACGAGGTGAGCATCCCTCAAGCTGGGATCCAGAAGCCTGGGGTGCAAACACTAATAAAGACGGCTTGCCATTTTCCCAGTAACCGCTTTCCATCTGAATCCACTGTCTCTCAGGACACCATGGCTGCACAGAAGGGCCAGCAGGCCTCCAGTGTGGAGCAGGGAACAGGATTTTTTGGTACTTTGTCCTTTACCCTACATTCCCAGTAAATATCCTTTTGTGACAGTTACATAAATGCTTGTACAATCAACGTGAGCTAGCTGACATCCCTCAGTTAATTGGTATTGGGGAGAGAGCAACTGGCTAAACAGCTTGTGGGAACATGCAGGTGTGTGAGGCTCAAAAGCAACAGTATTAAAGGAATAGTAACCCTGTCCTGGGGCCCTGACCTGCCAATCTGAGGGCAGGTTGGGAAGGAGAGTCCCAGGGCCTTCAGTCTACGGAAGGCATAGGCCTCCACAGTGCTGAGGACAGGCTGAAGCCAGCAAGGTGACTTGGAAATCTGCAGGAGACACAACCCTGAGCCCTGAGGCAGACAGCTCCCCCTCCCCATCAGCCCCTTATTCTGGGGCTTGGCTTTAACCCCTTCCTTACCAGGACCCAGGAATCCCTGTCTGCTGAGTGAGGGATTGAGCCCCGCTTAAAGAGGCAGGGCTGGGGGCAGGGTTCAGGCCGAGGGCAGGATCTGATTTGGGGACCGGGGCCAGATTCACGGGGCGCTAGTAAGACCAGCACCTGCCAATTATGGGGGGCAGTGCTGTGAGGCTGACCCCTCACACTTACCCGGGGATCTTTCCCGGGTTGTGGGGCCTGAATTATCACCCTTCTTCCACCATTCTGACACTAGAGGACTCCCCAAACCCTCCCACCCCTCCCACCCCACCCCCACACACACAGCATGGGGCCATCAGTGAAGCAGCAACCACAGAGAGGAAGGAGAAGCGAACCTTCTCGGGTCTGGCACACTCAGAGCAGAGCCGGCCCTGGTCACATCCTGCACCTCACACTGTCCTGGTCAGCCCGCAGTGCCCTCTCCCACCAGCCGCTGGGCCCCATGACCCACACCCTCTCTGTCCTGCTGTGCCTCGGTGAGTCTTAAGAAGCCCCCTGTTTGAGCGGACTTTGCACACCATCGAGTCCAACCCGCCCCCACCTCCATGTTGTTGAGGAGGAAAGTCTCCTCCAGAGAAGGGGGGAGACGAGTCTGAGGTCACCCAGCCAGGAGGGGAGGGGGGAGAAGCTGGAGCTCTTAGAGGGGCCATCTGGTGTCCAGCCCTTTTCACTCACACCAGCCCTAAGCCCAGGCTCTGGACCCTCTGTCTTCTTCCTCTGGGGGTGTTGGCTGGGGAAGATGTGGGGAGCTGGGGGTAACCAGGGTCCTCTCTTCCAGCGCTGTGTCTGGGCCAGAGGATGAGGGCAGAGGCAGGTGAGTCCTTCCCCCCACACTCCCCTTGCCCGGAGCAGACGGCTACCCCCAGGAGAGGGAGGGGGGCGGTCTGGGCAGGGCTGACAAGGTTTAAAATGAGGGAATGAAGCATGGGGGGCCCACAGAAGGGGGATCCCCTGGATCTGACAGCTCTCATTCACTTCCAGACACAATCCCCAGACCCTCTCTCAGGGCAGAGAACGGCTCATTGGTGCCACTAGAGAGAAGTGTGATCCTCAGGTGCCGGGGGGGATGGGAGGGTGAAGTGTACCGTCTGGAGAAAAAGCTGAGCTCTGACAGGGTAATTGATGTGAAATCAAATGAAACGGAGGTCGAGTTTCCCATGCCATCAGTGACAGCAAAAGATGCAGGGACCTACTATTGCCGCTACTTACACTCATCTGGCTGGTCAGAACGCAGTGACCCCCTGGAGCTGGTGGTGACAGGTGAGGAAACCTCCCCCCAACCCCCCACCCCCACCCCTGCCCAGGCCCCTCAGGCAGGGCTGGCTCTGGGTCCCAGCAGCCCCTAAGCTCCTCCCCAGCCCAGCCTGGCCTCAATCATCCCTCTGCCTCTGCCCTTCCTGTCCTGCTCTCCCTCTGGGGCGAGAGGCGGGGGAAGGGAATCAGCATTTGTATAGCGCCTACTAAGTGCCAAGCACTTTACAGGCATTATCTCCTTTGATCCTCACAACAGCTCTGTGAGGTAGGTGCTATTATGATCCCAATCTTACAGTAGAGGAAACTGAGGCAAACAGAGAGGAAGTGACTTGCCCAGAATCACATAACTGACAAGTGTCTAAGGCTGGATTTGAACTCAGGTCTTCCTGACTCCAGGCCCAGGGCTCTATCCACTGACCCACCAGCTGCCTCAGTCAGAGCCCATCTTAGGGCCAGAAAGGAGGCAGGAGGCTCAGCTTGGGTCTTAGGTCACAAGACAGAGCTGGTAGCTCCCTGGGGAGGGGGCACAGGGTTGCTGGGGCATCTCCCCCTCCCAGCCCTGACCCTCCCAAAGCCAGGAGAGGCAGTGCAGGGTGGACCTGCTGCTGCTCTGTCCCCTCTCCCAGCTCAGGCCTAGGCACAGGGAGGGGAGGGGAGGGGAGGGGAGGGGTGTCTCCTCTGTGTATCCCCAAGGATTTTCTGTACAGGAAGGTTTAGGAGGCGAGGATGGAAGTGAAGCACAAATCTCAACCAAGCCTCCTACTCTCCTTCCCACACCTGCCCCAGGGACCCACCCATGGTCCAGGATGAGAGCCAGCCTCTGCTTTGGGGAGCTCAGAACTACCCCAAACTGCAGAGACGGGTCTTAAATATGCCTCCACCCCCAATGTCTGTGGAGAGACATTCTGGGAGAAAGGACCAGGGATTGGGGCTCCCAGTCCCGGGCCAGGGAGGAAGACGCCCTGTCTATGCTTCCCTCCCCCACACCGACCCCCATTTGTCTCTCTGTCTCTCTGTCTCCCCTCACAACATCTCTGTCTCTGTCTGTCTCTCTCTCTCTTCACTCACCCACTTTCCATTTCCCTCTAGAGCTGTCCAAGGTCCTTCCTCTCCCTCCCCAAAGCTATGCTGTTACCATTTTTGTATAGATGACCTAAATCTCCACACCCAGGCAGGGGTCTAGGAAGGCCCAGGCCAGTTCTTTCACCAACCCAATATGGTCCCATATGCTGAAAGAGGGGACTTACAGCCCTAACTCCAGGCTCTCCTCTTCCTCCTCCCCCAGGCGTGTATGACCCACCCTCCCTCTCAGCCCTGCCCAACTCTTCAGTGGCCTCAGGACACAACGTGACCCTCCAGTGTCAGTCACAGCAATCGTATAACAGGTTTGCCCTGTACAAGGATGGAGAACAGATCACACAAGTCGGGGCCCAGTTCCGTGGAAGGGAATCTCTGACCAACTTCTCCATCCCTGCTGTGAACTCTACCCACGGAGGGACTTATCAATGCTACGGCTTTTATAGAAGATTCCCTTACCAGTGGTCAGCCCCCAGCAATGCCCTGGTACTCAGGGTCACAGGTGAGGGAGCCCCAGCTCTACCCCATGCCTCCCATCCCTCCTAAGCTCCCTCACTGGCCCTGGGGCACCTCCCTACCTGCACAAGGGATCCCAGGGGCCAGGAGGGCTAGGGAAAAGGAGGCTCAGAGGGAGGGCATGGAGAGCCTGGGTAATGGGTCCTGCTCAGAGAATGCAGACAGTGAGGCCTCTCCTCCCTGGCCCCTCTAGACACCCTCACCATCTGCCACCTCTCCAGTTATGTTAGTCCCACAGACAAACAATATGTCTATTAAGTCCCAGGAAAAGGGGTTGAGGAGGTCAGAGGAGGAGCCAAGAGGAGGCTAGAGGAGGCCTGTGGTAAAGACAGTGGGCAAGGAGGAGGTTAAACACCACCAAGCCCCTCACCCTTCTCCTCCCCTTGTGTCCCTTCCCTGCCTCCAAAATCCAGACAGGAGCTAGAAGAGGGGTCAGAAGAATCATGGAATCATCAAATCTCACAAGTGGACAGGCCAGGAGAGGTCACTGAGCACACACACCCATTTAACAGAAGGAAAAGTGAGGCACAAAGAAGGGAAGGGCTTGCCCAACATCCCACACCAGTATGTCTGGTCAGAACTGGGGCTCCCTGCAGACCCTCCAGGACTCTCGGGCTCCTCTGCCCAGCCCCTAACCCTGCCCCCTTCCTTATCCCCAGGGACCTTCTCTCCAAGCCCTGAATCTGGGAACACACAGTTAGGTGAGTAACTGGAGCATTCCCAGCAGGTAGAGGAGGGAAGCAGGGGCTGAACCAGGGGCAGTCAGGGTCTGCCTGCCCCATCCAGGGCCCTCTCATTTCCCACCATTCCTCCCACAGCACCTTGTTATTCTCTTTTTTCCACCTCCAGGGTTTTGCCCAGGCTGCCCCTCTACCTGGCATGCCCTCCCTCCTCACCTCCTCCTCTTACAATACAGAGATCCCTCCCAGACTGAGCTTAGGATCCTTGTCCCAAGGAAGCCTCTCCTGTCCCCCTTCCCAGTTGTTAGCCATCCCACTCCTCAGATGAGACCCCATTGATTTATTCACGTACATGACACAGAGCATTCCAGGAGAATGTCAGCCCCTTTTCGGGCAGGAGCTAGCTCTGTTTTGCCTTATTTCCTGTGGGTGTGACCTAGCCCAGGACCTGGACCAGCTTGAGTAAGGGGCTGTAGACCTCAACTGTGAGCAGCCACGTGGTGCAGCGGATACAGCGCCAGGCCTGGAGTCAGGAAGACTCATTTTCCTGAGTGAAAAGCTGGCCTCAAACACTTACTAGCTGTGTGACCCTGGACAAGTCACTTAACCCTGTTGACCTCAGTTCAGCATCTTTAAAATGAGCTGGAGAAGGAAATGGCAAATCACTCCAGTATCTTTGCAGAGAAATCCCCAGATGGGGTCATGGAGGGTCAAACATGACTGAAAAATGACTGAACAACAGAACTGAATTATTGAATAAGACTAGAGAGTCTCTGAGGACAGAACTCTTTATCCTTCCCCTTGGACTAGGGGCTCCCCAAAGATCAACTTCCTCTTAAATCTTCCCCCTAACCTGGTCTCCATCCTTGGCTTCCCCAGGTCTCACAGTAGGCATTCTGATGGGCATCTCAGCATTTCTCATCCTGATCTCCCTCTTTCTCCTCATCCTCCTCTGCCATCGATGCCATCAGCATCAGGCCAGACTCAGTGAGTTCTTGGGGCTGGGGGTCACCTGGGCTGAGGGCCCGATGGGGCATGAGCTGAGCCCCACTAAACCCTGACTCACTCTCCTTACAGGGAATGGAGGCAGCCAGGCAGAGGTCAGGAAGACCACCAGGAGGTAGGGCCCCACACACACCCCGACTACCCCTAGACCCGCCCCCAGCGCACCTGCCCTCCTTTCCAGACCCTCCCCCTCAACGTTCTGTGCCTTCTTGTCCCCCAGCTCTGACCCAGCTGGGACCCCCCTGGAAGAGACCCCAGGTGAGTGAGAGGGGCAGGGGAAGGGGCAGGGGGCCTGGGGGGCCAGAGGGAGGAGCCTGGTCCTGGCCCCTCATGCCTTCTCCCCTTGCCTCCAGATGCTGCTGGGAATGATGACAGACAGACAGAGGAGGCCAGACAGGAGGACATAGCTGTGAGTCACTCACACATCTCTCCTTCTGGAGGGAACAGGGAGGGAAAGGCTTCCCCAAGGCCCTGCACAGCTGGGAGGGTTCAGGTCCTTTCCCCTCCTCAGCCCTCCTGTCCCATGTCCCACTCCATCCCTCCATTTCCTCCTGACAGGCTCCCAAAAGGGAAGACCCTCAGGAAGTGACCTATGCCCAGCTGAACCCCAACAGCCTCAAGGCTGGAGTGGAGGCCCCTCCCCTCTCAGGACCAGTGGAGGCCAGCCTCTACGCCGCCTTGCGGTGAGCTCAGCCCACGCCCAGGGGACGCCAGGAGGAAGATGCCCCTCTCCATTCAGCCTCTGCTTTGTGAGGGAAGACTCTGACCTACCCAGTCAGCCAAACACCCAGATGTTAGGACCCGTGCTCCTCACCCCAAGGGGAAGGGCAGAAAGGATGACAAACTGCTGGGAACAGAGTTCTTCTCTCCTTTGCTGCCAGTAGAATGTGCCTTGGGCAATGCCAGGCCACCAGCTAAGGGCAGACCAGTCACTGAACACTGATTCAGAGTTATCTGGGTCCTGCCCACGATGGATCTATCAGGACAGTGAGGGGGACAAATGCTGTATAGCAGAAGCCACAGGGCCCACCTGCTTCCAGAGGAGGAGAGGAAGAGGAGGGAGGAAAGGGGTTCTCATGGGGCACCTACTATGTGCCAGGCTCTGGCAAATTTACAAATACGATCTCATAGAGTCTTCATGACAATTTTGGGAGATAGATGCTGCTGTTACCACCATTTTACACTTTAGGAAACAGAGGCAGACGGAGGCTAAGGAAGAAGACAGGAGAGGACAGGAGAAGAGGGGTGGGGAGAGGAAGGGAAGTGTCTAAGGACCTTCCGAAAAATGGGGCAATGGCTGAACAAACAGTGGGATAGGGACAGACATAACGGAATCCGTGACACCCTGAGAAGTGATGGGAGAGATGATTTCAGAGAATTCTGGGTCACAGAAACTGACGGAGAGCAAAGGGAGCAGAACCAGGAGGAGGATTTGTACCAGGACAATAAAATTATGAAGAAAAATTACTATGAAAGACCAAAGAATTCTGACCAGCACAATGACTAAGCGTGGCTCCAGAGGAGGTCAGATGGCGCCTACGATCACCTGCTGGTAGAGACGGGGTGGACACCTGGTACAGAAAAGGACACACATTTTGTGCACGTAGGCCCTTTGTGGGCTGGTTTTGCTTAATTTGACTTACTTGTTACAAAGTTGTTGTTACTTCTTCCTTTAAGTTTTCTATTTGGGAGGGGGCTTTGGGGGGAGGGGCACATCATTACTGCAATAGTGATGGAAAAAAACACCCCAGAGGAAAGACCATCTGGGAGGAGAGGTTGGTCAGTGGCATAGAAGGAAGGGATCTAGAAAAGAGATTCCATTGAGCGAATTAGAGATAACTGAAGACTTGGGAGAGAATGGCTTCCCTGGAGTGCCGATATCAGGCGCCTGCCCCCAGGGAGCTCCCAGTCTAAGTGGGGGACAACAGGCAAGGGATTCTGTACATACAAGGTACAGATAGGATAAAATGGGGGCAATCTCCTGGGAAGGCAGTGACATCAAAGAAGATTGGGAAAGGCTTCCTGCAGGAGGTGGGGTTAGACCTGTGACTTCAAGGAAGCAGGGAAGGCCATTTGCTTGTGAAAAATGGCCTTTTATTCATAGTTAATTCCAAGAATTTGTCTCTCTGGTCATGATGGAGTCCACCACGAAAGGTTTTGCATTTAGACTCTAAGCACATCCAGAAAAGCCTTATGCCACTAGGAATTCATCACTGGCCTACCTTCACAGTTAATTGGTAGAAAACAGATAAACTTTTATTCTTTTTTTTTTTATACATTTCACACTTTCCTGCATTTTCTTGCAAAATAGCCTCACTCTCTTGGTTAAGTCAAATGGTGTTCTCTTAATGATTCACCATCTGTGTGGTCCTTTCCACCCTGCTAAGGTATCAGATGGCTCAGAGGTTGGAGCACCAGCCTGGAGGCATCAGGATTTGAATTCAAATCCAGCCTCAGACACTTCCTAACTGTGTGACCCTGAGTGAGCCACTTCACCTCTTGAGGCTGCCTCAATTTCCTCAACTATAAAATGGGGGTCATAATAGCACCTTTGTCCTAGGGTGGTTGTGAGGATCACTGGAGACAACATTTCTAAGGCGTCTGACACATAGTAGACTCTTAATAAATGTTGGTGTCCTTCCTGTCAAGCACCAGCAGCTAAATATTTTTAACTTTGTGATTATGCATATTTACCTTCACTCTTAATGATCGATATGGTAAATTAATAGATATTAGTGTTGAATATTCAACAGATGATATTACAGAAAGCAGTAAGATTGATAAAAAACAAAACACAAATACTTGCCCCCCCATAACCACCCCCAAGAAAGAATCATTCCTTTTTCTTCTACTGGAATCCTCTGCCCCAGGAAATCTAATAAATTCCACTGGGAAATCACTCCAATGGTTCCCCGCCAATGCACAGGATAGCCCTCTTCCTGCCTCCACAAATCCTTAGGATGGGACAACTGCCTCCTGGGGAAGTCAGCCTCTAAGTGTGAGTCAAGAGGAAAGCCCCCACACAGAGAATACAGTGGAGAGACCCCTGACCAGAGAGAGGGGGACCAGGCACCTCCCACCCTGGGACAACTGTAGGAAGATCCCAGGACCTTCTCCTCTGCTGCTCAAATCAACTCTGCCCCAGAAGGTTCACTTCTTAGAGGGTGCCTGGCCTTCCAAAGGGCCACCAGGTGGCAGGACTGAGTCAGGCACATTCCACCAAACCCCTGCCTATGCTCCTTTAAAGAACTCCCCAGTCCTTGTCTCTGTTCCCTGCAGGGACCTGCTGTGATTGCTTCAGTTGGGCTGGGGTGAGACCCCCTGATGGGGCCCTCCTGACCAGTGCCACCCCTCTCCCCATACATGGCTGGTTGCTGTCCTTCCATCTGTAGGAGGACAAAAATGACATCACTATACTAAAGTCAAGTTTCAGTGTGTCTGACCATTGCTGATCAGAGCAGTACAAGCTCTGAATGTTCTACCACAGGTCAGGCACAATTAGTCCGTGTGAACATTTGGGAAGAATTCTCTAAATTTGCACATCCTGTGTTTCTCTTGATATATTTCAGCTCTGCTTTGCTCACAGAGCACAGCACCTTCTCAGATGAGGGCACGCCATGCTGAGGGGTCCTGTGCCAGTGTCTCCCATTCACAAAATAAAGTCCGCGTGTCTGAAGAGAGATCTTAATAATGTCTGTCCCCTGCCCCATACATAGCCATATAATGGAAGTATGGGATAGAAGCCATTGATGGCTTGTGGGAAGGGGGAGACTGAGGGGAAGGGGTTTTGTTAAGCATCTACATTGCTCTCTCATTTGAACTTCACAACAGCACTGGATGGTAGTGATGGGGACATGGGACCTGGACCCCAAATTTTCCCACACATTTAAGTAGCCCAGAACACTGGCATCTCTTGAAGGCGTCTGGCCCAGCCCAGCCCACCTAGATACGCAACAGTCCTTTCACAGTGCTCTTAACCCACCCCAAACCACTTAACTCATTTCACTGGTCCACCTGGCCCACCCCAGGCTATTTACCACTCCTGAATCCCATACAGATCTTCTCATTGTCTATATTTGTATGGAAGTAGTGATCTCACCCCCATCAAGATACAGATTCATTGGGAATCTTGCCCACTCTATGGGCATTACAATAAGCCTCACTACCTTGACTGAAGGAAAGCTTGAGTGCTTGAATTCTTTCCAGGCAGACTTGTTCTGCATCCTGATATTTCAGAGTTCCCAACACCCCAAACCACATCAGTAGCTGTTATTATGAACCTCATTTTACAACTGAGGAAACTGAGGCAGACAGAGATGAAGTGATTTGCCCAGGGGTTCACATCTAGGTCTTTCTGACTCTATCCATTTCACCCTCTAGCAGTGAAGGTGGTGATTGAACTGAGGGCGCTAGGGAGGTGAGAACAGAAGGCATTTCAGGGGTACCTGACTGGGGGGAATAGGAAGGGGAGAGATTTGGAGGGAGGGAAGGAAGGGTCCAACCTTCACTCCCCAGCTCACTCTTGTGAAAAATTGACTTAATCAGGCAAGAGTAAGGGCCCAGGGAGAGAGAAGAAGGGAAAGAGTGGGGTGCAGGGATTTGGGAGGATATGAGTGGTTTAGTCTTCTAAGGGTATTAAGTTTGGTAAGTGTCTGAGGCCAGATTTGAACTCAGGAAGATGAGTCTTCTGACTCCTGGCCCAACACTCTCTGCACTATGGCGCCACCTAGTGGTCCCAGGTTGGAGATACAAACTAAAATAATAGAGCTGAGACTCAACTGGCCTGAGGCTGCCTGAGTAAAAGGTGCACGCAATCACAAAACAAAAACATGAACTTGAGTTTCTCTGGAATGTGGGTGAAGGGTGCAATTCCAAGGGTAAGGAGAGCATGTACTTCTGAGAGATTGCCTAAGTCTTCAAAGCAGAACTAAAATCCATTTTCAGTTTGACAATTGACAGTGGGGAGAAAGCTGCTGGCTGAATGATATTGTGGGCACGCTAGGTGGGGGCTCATAAACAACGCTAATGTGTAATTGTTGGTGCCTGGTTTTCAGAGGGCCAATGACCAATGACTTGGCCTGAATTGGAGTAAAGCCAGGCGGGGCTGCCCAGAACCTCAGCCTGGCTCTGTCTTCTGAGTCAAAGTTGGTGATGAGACAGCAGTCAGGAGGACTGGGGATGGCCTGGGCTGAGGTGGATAACCTTGGTGTCTCCCTGTCTGAACCCAACTCTAAGCACCCTGCAGAGCCTGCGTCAGCCCTCTTCATGGCCCTTGGAAACAGTTATTCTCCTCTACCCATTCTGCCATGGGAACTCTCCACATGCTTCTGACACTCTGGACTTCCCCCTCACTCAACAACAGGTTGGAGGCCTGTTGGTTACCCTAGACCTGGCTTAGCCCATCTGCAGGGAAGGTTTTACACATTATTGCTGCTGTGCATGCAGCAGCTTCTTGGAGCCACAGGGGACAGTTGGCTGACAGGTAAATACCTAAAGTAGAGGAGCAGCCCTCACATCAGAGGTGCTGGGTTCCCTCAACACCGCACACACCCTACTAGAGGAATAGTAACCCTGTCGGGGGCCCTGACCTGCCAATCTGAGGGTAAGTTGGGAAGGAGAGTGCCAGGGCCTTCAGTCTACGGAAGGCATAGGCCTCCACAGTGCTGAGGACAGGCTGAAGCCAGCAAGGTGACTTGGAAATCTGCAGGAGAGACAACCCTGAGCTCTGAGGCAGACAACTCCCCCTCCCCATCAGCCCTTTATTCTGGGGCTTGGCTTTAACCCCTTCCTTACCAGGACCCAGGAATCCCTGCCTGCTCAGTGAGGGATTGAGCCCTGCTTAAAGAGGCAGGGCTGGGGGCAGGGTTCAGGCTGGGGGCAGGATCTGGTTTGGGGACCGGGGCCAGATTCACGGGGCGCTAGTAAGACCAGCACCTGCCAATTATGGGGGGCAGTGCTGTGAGGCTGACCCCTCACACTTACCCGGGGATCTTTCCCGGGTTGTGGGGCCTGAATTATCACCCTTCTTCCACCATTCTGACACTAGAGGACTCCCCAAACCCTCCCACCCCTTCCACCCCACCCCCACACACACAGCATGGGGCCATCAGTGAAGCAGCAACCACAGAGAGGAAGGAGAAGTGAACCTTCTCGGGTCTGGCACACTCAGAGCAGAGCCGGCCCTGGTCACATCCTGCACCTCACACTGTCCTGGTCAGCCCGCAGTGCCCTCTCCCACCAGCTGCTGGGCCCCATGACCCACACCCTCTCTGTCCTGCTGTGCCTCGGTGAGTCTTAAGAAGCCCCCTGTTTGAGCGGACTTTTCACACCATCGAGTCCAACCCGCCCCCACCTCCATGTTGTTGAGGAGGAAAGTCTCCTCCAGAGAAGGGGGGAGATGAGTCTGAGGTCACCCAGCCAGGAGGGGAGGGGGGAGAAGCTGGAGCTCTTAGAGGGGCCATCTGGTGTCCAGCCCTTTTCACTCACACCAGCCCTAAGCCCAGGCCCTGGACCCTCTGTCTCCTTCCTCTGGGGGTGTTGGCTGGGGAAGATGTGGGGAGCTGGGGGTAACCAGGGTCCTCTCTTCCAGGGCTGTGTCTGGGCCAGAGGATGAGGGCAGAGGCAGGTGAGTCCTTCCCCCCACACTCCCCCTGCCCGGAGCAGATGGCTACCCCCAGGAGAGGGAGGGGGGCGGTCTGGACAGGACTGACAAGGTTTAAAATGAGGGAATGAAGCATGGGGGGCCCACAGAAGGGGGATCCCCTGGATCTGACAGCTCTCATTCACTTCCAGACACACTCCCCAGACCCTCCCTCAGGGCAGAGAACGGCTCATTGGTGCCACTAGGGAGAAGTGTGATCCTCAGGTGCCAGGGGGGATGGGAGGGTGAAGTGTACCATCTGGAGAAAAAGCTGAGATCTGACAGGATAATTGATGTGAAATCAAAAGAAATGGAGGGCGAGTTTCCCATGCCATCAGTGACAGCGAAAGATGCAGGGATCTACTGCTGCCGCTACTTACACTCATCTGGCTGGTCAGAATGCAGTGACCCCCTGGAGCTGGTGGTGACAGGTGAGGAAACCTCCCCCCAACCCCCCACCCCCACCCCCGCCCAGGCCCCTCAGGCAGGGCTGGCTCTGGGTCCCAGCAGCCCCTAAGCTCCTCCCCAGCCCAGCCTGGCCTCAACCATCCCTCTGCCTCTGCCCTTCCTGTCCTGCTCTCCTCTGGGGCTAGAGGTGGGGGAAGGGAATCAGCATTTGTATAGCGCCTACATTGTGCCAAGCACTTTACAGGCATTATCTCCTTTGATCCTCACAACAGCTCTGTGAGGTAGGTGCTACAATGATCCCAATCTTACAGTAGAGGAAACTGAGGCAAACAGAGAGGAAGTGACTTGCCCAGAATCACATAACTGACAAGTATCTAAGGCTGGATTTGAACTCAGGTCTTCCTGACTCCAGGCTCAGGGCTCTATCCACTGACCCACCAGTTGCCTCAGTCAGAGCCCATCTTGGGGCCAGAGAGGAGGCAGGAGGCTCAGCCTGGGTCTCAGGTCACAAGACAGAGCTGGTAGCTCCCTGGGGAGGGGGCACAGGGCTGCTGGGGCATCTCCCCCTCCCAGCCCTGACCCTCCCAAAGCCAGGAGAGGCAGTGCAGGGTGGACCTGCTGCTGCTCTGTCCCCTCTCCCAGCTCAGGCCTAGGCACAGGGAGGGGAGGGGAGGAGAGGGGTGTCTCCTCTGTGTATCCCCAAGGATTTTCTGTACAGGAAGATTTAGGAGGCAAGGATGGAAGTGAAGCACAAATCTCAACCAAGCCTCCTACTCACCTTCCCACACCTGCCCCAGGGACCCACCCATGGTCCAGGATGAGAGCCAGCCTCTGCTTTGGCTAGCTCAGAACTACCCCAAACTACAGAGACAGGTCTTAAATATGCCTCCACCCCCAATGTCTGTGGAGAGACAATCTAGGAGAAAGGACCAGAGATTGGGGCTCCCAGTCCCGGGCCAGGGAGGAAGATGCTCTGTCTATACTTCCCTCGCCCACACCAACCCCCATTTCTCTCTCTGTCTCTCTGTCTCCCCTCACAACATCTCTGTCTCTGTCTGTCTGTCCATCTCTCTCTCTCTCTCCACTCACCCACTTTCCATTTCCCTCCAGAGCTGTCCAAGGTCCTTCCTCTCCCTCCCCAAAGCTATGCTATTACATTTTTGTATAGATGACCTAAATCTCCACACCCAGGCAGGGGTCTAGGAAGGCCCAGGCCAGTTCTTTCACCAACCCAATATGGTCCCATATGCCGAAGGAGGGCACTTATAGCCCTAACTCCAGGCTCTCCTCTTCCTCCTCCCCCAGGTGTGTATGACCCACCCTCTCTCTCAGCCCTGCCCAACTCTTCAGTGGCCTCAGGACACAACGTGACCCTCCAGTGTCAGTCACAGCAATGGTATAACAGGTTTGCCCTGTACAAGGATGGAGAACAGATCACACAAGTCGGGGCCCAGTACCATGGAAGGGGGTCTCTGGCCAACTTCTCCATCCCTGCTGTGAACTCTACCCACGGAGGGACTTATCAATGCTACAGCTTTTATAGAAGATTCCCTTACCAGTGGTCAGCCCCCAGCAATGCCCTGGTACTCAGGGTCACAGGTGAGGGAGCCCCAGCTCTACCCCATGCCTCCCATCCCTCCTAAGCTCCCTCACTGGCCCTGGGGCACCTCCCTACCTGCACAAGGGATCCCAGGGGCCAGGAGGGCTAGGGAAAAGGAGGCTCAGAGGGAGGGCATGGAGAGCCTGGGTAATGGGTCCTGCTCAGAGAATGCAGACAGTGAGGCTTCTCCTTCCTGGCCCCTCTAGACACCCTCACCATCTGCCACCTCTCCAGTTATGTTAGTCCCACAGACAGACAATATGTCTATTAAGTCCCAGGAAAAGGGGTTGAGGAGGTCAGAGGAGGAGCCAAGAGGAGGCTAGAGGAGACCTGTGGTAAAGACAGTGGGCGGGGGGAGGTTAAACACCATCAAGCCCCTCACCCTTCTCCTCCCCTTGTATCCCTTCCCTGCCTCCAAAATCCAGACAGGAGCTAGAAGAGGGGTCAGAAGAATCATGGAATCATCAAATCTCATAAATGGACAGGCCAGGAGAGGTCACTGAGCATACACACCCATTTAACAGACAGAAAAGTGAGGCCCAAAGAAGGGACGGACCTGCCCAACATCCCACACCAGTATGTCTGGGCAGAACTGGGGCTCCCTGCAGACCCTCCAGGACTCTCTGGGCTCCCCTGCCCAGCCCCTAACCCTGCCCCCTTCCTCATCCCCAGGGACGTTCTCTCCAAGCCCTGAATCTGGGAACACACAGTTTGGTGAGTAACTGGAGCATTCCCAGCAGAGAGAGGAGGGAAGCAGGGGATGGATGTCCAGTCAGGGTCTGCACACCCCATCCAGAGCCCTCTCATTTCCCACCACTCCTCCCACAAGACCTTATTATTCTCCTTTTCCCACCTCCAGGCCTTTGCCCAGGCTGCCCCTCTACCTGGCATGCCCTCCCTCCTCACCTCCTCCTCTTACAGTGCAAAGATCCCTCCCCGACTGAACTTAGGAGCCTTGTCCTAAAGAAGTCTTTCCTGTCCCCCTCCCAAGTTGTTAACCATCCCACTCCTCTGATGATTATCCCCCAGGATAACAGGAGAACAGGAGCTAGCTCTATTTTGTCTTATATCCTATGGGTCTGACCTAGCTCAGGGCCTGGGCCAGAGTGAATGCTTAATAGGGGTCAGAAGACCTGAATTACTGAATAAGACTGGAAGCTCCCTGAGGTCAGGCTCTGTCCCCTCCCTTCACAGTGGGGGCTCCCCATTGACACTTCCTCACACACTCACATCATCTCCCATCTCCAGGCCTTTGTATCAGCTGTGCCCACTGCCTGCAATTCTCCATGCTTTAATTTCCCTCTTCTCTCCAACTCTCCAATCACTCTCCCCTTCTGGGAGGAGACCTTCCTTTCCTGGTGCCCTCCTTCCCTCCTGCCAGGGCCTGCCCTCAGGCATCACCTGCCACCTGCTCTGTGGGGACCTGGCCGTTTTCAGGTCTTCTCCCCCTTAGAATCTGAGCGGCCTGAGGGCAGGGACTGTTATTAAATGTAACCAGCAAATGCCTGTTAGTACCAATATTAATAGTAACCAGCTTATAGAAAGCCCTTTAAATGCTCTACACTGATTAGCTCAGTGGATCCTTACAACAGCCCTGGGAGGCAGGTGCTGTTATTAGCCCCATTTTCCAGATGACAAAACTGAGGCTGAGAGAGTGGAGGGGACCTGACCAGGGTCACACAGAGGGGAAGTGTCTGGGGTGGAATCTGAACTCAGCTCTTCCCCACCACAAGTTTCATGCTCCACCCATTCCACCAAGCTGTGGCCAAAACTGCAGGAGAGAAGAGGAAGTGAGGACAAAGTGAAGGTGCCAGGAAAGTCACCTGGGGCTGACTCGGGGCCCTGAAGAGGAAGCCCTGGGGGGAGGGGTGTGGGGAGGCTGCCTCAGCCTCTCCCTCAGGCTTCTGTCCCTGGGCCCCGGGCCCCAGTCTCTCACCCCCACATCCAGGCTCCCAGCCAGTGAGTAACCCGGGGCAGGTCTGGGGCTGAGGAGCCTGGCAGGGGGAGCAGAGGAGTCTGTGCCTCTCTCCATGGGGCCTGAGATCAGGGAGGTCTTTCCCCCTCCCAGACTCTGCTCCCCAGGATTACACCGTGGGCAACCTCATCCGCCTCAGCCTGGCCGGGCTGGTCCTCCTCCTCCTGGGAGTCCTGCTGGCTGAGGCCTGCATAACTTCAAGGGACCACTGAACACAAGCTTCAGGTACCCCTGACAGATGGGAAGACAGAGGTGGGGTTCCTTGAACGTGTGTGTCCCAAAGACCCATTGAGGCAGTGAGTTCTGCCCAGCTCCAGACAGAGGGAAGGTCCCTGCCTTCCCTGCAACCTACCCTGGCCCAGCTCATAATGCCCAGCCTTTGCCCCAGGCCTCCCCCTCTTCCCCACTGCTACTGCTCTGACCCCACACACACAGTCCCTCCCTCCTCCCCACTGAGGACATCTCTCAGTAATGAAAGAGGAAAAAATATCCCCCCCAGAATACTAAATCCTCTCAGGAGTCATAGAAACCTGTAAGCTTCATGATTTCCTCCATCAGTGGTCATGTGTGTATGTATGTGTGTGTGTATCTATGTATATCTGTGTGTGTGTGTGTTTGTGTGTGTCTCTATGCAGAAAAGATGAGAGGGAGGGAGCCAACAGGGCCTCCCTCTGTAGGCTTTTGGCAGTTAGGTTCTCAGGGCCTGGAAGCCCACCCTTACCTGCGCCAAGCCACACTGCTTTCTTCTCTCCCAAATCAGACTCCACACATCCCAGGACAATCTTCCCTGAGATGGCAGGGCCTACAAACACTGTCTCCTACCAGGCCTTCCATGTGTGTGGTCCCTGAAGTTGTACACCCTGCTAATTAACGTATCCAAGAACACGTTTACTCCTTGGGGTTCCTGAGGCTACCAGAGACAACCTTCCTTTGGATGAATGTAAATGAACCAACGTTGCTTGCTAGAGAGCACACCTGCATAGATACATATACCTGGCCATTGTGATCACTTGGGGCCTTTTCTGACACTAAAGGTCCTCCCAGTCCATCACCACCGCCATTGCCCCTAGAGGTGTATCCTGGACTCCTAGGACCAATTGTATGGATACTCTCCTCAAAGGTCGACATTTTGCTCCATGCCTCTTCTCTATGTGACATGTGAGTGGTGTCAGTGAGAGGGGGAGAGAAGACACATCTGCTCTTCTGGTGTCCAGCTTCTACAGAAAAGGTGCACCATTCCAACCTCTGTTCAGGTCCCTGAAAGGAGATTAAGACTCAGAGCAGAAGTCAACAGGAGAGGATCTGGCCATCTCTATCATGTCCCTATCTCAAGCTCACCACACTGGGAGTTCTGGGGAATTTCTCCTTGGGTCAGACCTAGGACTCTTTCTTCTGGCAGAGCTGGGCTGCCTCTTTCACAAAGAGAGAAAGAACTCCTTCAGTCTGTCATCTGCCATATATTCTCCCATGCATACCTTCTCTAAGTTCTGTTTTCTATAGGCCTGGATAAATGAGTTTCTTTGCTATGGGCTGTGTCTGTTCATTGTGGAATGGGCATCTGGTGGGAAGGGAGCCAAGCCTCAGGTAGATGGCTTAGGGCTCTCCTTCCCTTTCAGGAGTGCTTGAAACTAAAAGTCATTTCCTCCACACTAATAATGTTTAAGGGAAGAGGTAGATATAACTCTGGCCCAGTTCCCCATCTCTCTGAAGGGATCAGAGAAGCCTCTGGCCCCTCTTGCCCTCCTGGCAGGAATCAAAGTCTCCCTTGTAAAAGTGAGGTGGGAGGGAAGAGATTCCAAAGGGGTCTATTTTTGCCTCCCTATGAGCCATATCTAGACAGATTCTTAAGGACATTAACAATCTTCTTGGGCAGAAACCAAACAGTACACACTAAATCATTCCATAGGCCAACATTCATAGGAAGCATCCCCTGGGCTCTTTTCTCATCTGCCATTATGGCCCTAGCACTCGCTCCCTCTGCTTCCAATATGAAGAATGGATTCCAGGATCTAGGAATACCAAGGAAGATAATCAGGGGCAAACAGTGATGTACAGACAAGGATAGAAAGGATAAAGGGGAGATCATCTCAGAGGGAAGGTGCTAGCATCAGGGGGATCAGGAAAGGGTTTCAGGGGCAGCTAAAATTGGAAAACTACATAGCATGATTGGAATCATATTACTTCATTTGCCAACAGTTTGATATGATTTTAGAGGAGGCTTGTAAACCATGGAGCGGATGTTTGGGAATCGGTCCTGTGGACCTCTTGGACAAGTCATTGAGAAATCTCCCTTTGAGGCCAAATTTTCATGGCAGAACATGTTTTTGACATGACTCAGTGCACAGTAGGCCTACATAATGTCATAGTGCCAACACCAGCCAAAGTGAAGCAATACCGAGCTCCAGACTGGCTGCTCAACCACAACTGCTTTAGTCATTCCCCAATTTATAACCATCCCTTCAATTTCCAGTTCTTTGCCAACACAAAGAGAGCTGCTAAAAATAATAATAATAATAATAAATTAAAAATGTAAAAAGAGCTGCTATAAATATTTTAAAACATATAGTTTCTTTTCCTTTTTCCCTCATCACCTTGGGAAACAGACCTAACAGCAGTATTTCTGGGGCAAAGGGTATGCACATTTTGATGACTTTGGAGGCATAATTCCAGATTTCTCTCCAAAATGGTCGGATCAATTCATGACTCCATCAACAATGTGTTAATGTCCCAATTTTTGCACATACCCTCCAACATTTGTCATTTTCCCTTCTACCATTTTAGCCAATCTGATAGGTCTAAAATGATACCTCGAAACTGTTTTAACTTGCATTTCTCTAAGCCATAATGATTTACAGCATTTTTAAAATATGACCACATATAGTTTTGATTTCTTTTTCCAAAAAATGCCTGTTTGTATCCTTTGATCATTTATCAATTGCTTTATCTTAATCTACACACCCATCAAAAAGTCCTTCCCTCAATTTTAATCCATACACCCTCCTCTACCCTGTTCCCCAGGTTTCT